ACAATATACATAGACGCAACTACAGTTGCGCTTTGTCTTTACCAACGCCTTCTCATATATTAGGTCTTTACCTATGAAATTGCCGTTTTGTATGCAATAAGTGAAAGTACTTATTTTTTCACACTTTTTTATTTCTGTTATTTGAAGTAATCGCCCATGCAATCGTAGCATCTTTGCCATCGCATTGGCAGTTTATTGAGGCAACAAACTCTTCAAAGGCATTTTGTACTGTCTCTCGGGAATTGAATTTTTTACCCACTAAAAAGTTGTCTAAATTTTGGTAAAAGTAATAGTCGGTAGGTGCAATGGCTAAGGTCACCAGCCGACTAAGGGAGTAAACTACGCAGGACAACAGCACTGCAAAGAGAAGGAAAACTTGACACAAACACTGTACCAACCCGTCTGGCCAGCGTAGTATAGTAGGCCAAAACCTTCTTTCTAAGAGGTCTATGTCGAGAAGTGGACTATTAAAGGCTGTTGATGATCAGTAATATTTGAAAAAAAATAGGCACCTGTAGTAATTAAATTGTACTATTATTTTAGTTTTACTGTGTTATTTCCTCTTTCATTTAAATTCAACTCAATTCGAATATAATCTTTATACTCGTAATTATTACACATGACAATTAATATGAAACACTCCAGTATAAAGTACTAAGAACCCTACGATAACAATCGTAGTTCCACTTTAACCAATTACTGTTTCCTATCAATAAATCATACCGTCATTACGATTTCCGGACAAAAAAACCGGCAGTGATTACAACAGAGGGTGGCAACACCGAGGGGTGGGCCAGACACCCGTGAAAATTTAACAAGGGACCCCAATCGACTATTAAATTCACCAGTTCAAGTGTTTAATTCAAGCTTCGCTGTGTTATAACTTTATGAATACAAATATTAGTTCCGTATTTTCTGGGAAACGGCTGGGTTTAACTTTGAGTTTACTATTTAGTTTTCTCTGAATTCGAGAGAATATTTTATGTCAATTTTGTGTTATATTCGCGTTTTGTGAACCTCTATAAAGGCTTATGGTAATATTGATTAAATAGTTTGGAATAATACAAAGTTTACACATAAATTCTACGTTCCTTAGATTGTAAACTAAATAGAGATTTATAAGTAAACGCTACTTATCTACGTCATAATTTTTACAACTATGGTTAAGTTATGTACTGCTTAAAACTTAAAATAAGTATAAAATTAAATTAACGGGAATTAACGCGTGACGGAAAGTCAGCCTGTGACCACAACCAGTTTAATCTGGTCGAAACGATATGTACCAAATTTCGGGGTGGGCACTGAACTCCAAGTCTTCAATAATTTTTTTGGAGTACAGGAGGGTAAACGAGCTGCCAGGTCACCTGGTGGTAAAGGATTAAAGCCGCCCAAGGACATCTGCTACTCATAGGTCACAGAATGCGTTGCCACACTTTTAGTCTCCTCTAACCAGTATCAATAAGGAGTACTTTGTCTCCTTTTTAATTTTCGCCGAGTGAATGAGGTTCCTACCTCAGTCACTCGGTAAAAAGTAACGTAACGTTTGGCTAACACCGGTTTTCTATACCGTGGTAAACCTCCGGTCTAGCACGCACGTTAACTCTAGCCTAGCAGTCAGAACCACTTACTAGTAAGCCCACAGGCTCACAAATTCAAAATATCTGTATTTCATAAAAAAATAAATTGTAATCGTCTTTTATGTAGACTTTAAAGTCGTAGATCAACACACACAAAAGCAACAATGCCTCTTTTGGAAAATAGTCAGAAACAAATTTAATAAAAATTAAAGGCATAAATACACTTGTTTAACTTCTTACGATTTTATTCATTACTTGCTGTAGCTACTGCCACAAGATCAGAATTCTTGCTTGTTATCTTAGTTTAAACCTAGAACCTTCTCGAACAATCTCAGTAGACTGTACGGATGGCGTAGTGGTTTAAGTGGTCGCCACGCCGCTTCCTACTACGACGAGTGTTGTGGGTTCAAACCCCACATGGGACGACACTTTGTGTGAACCACAAATTGTTGTTCTGAGTATGGGTGTTCTTTGTGTCCGTTTCATGTATGTTTGTAAAGTCCCCCGCGACACAGGAATATAGATTCCTAATACGGGCGTTATCTTTATAAAAATAAAATAAAAATAAATAAATAAAAATAATCTGATCGAAAACACCTACATCCAAAATTAAAAACATTGTTTTTAATCCCGATGTTTCATTTAATACAATGTATCTCGTTAGCGAATAAACTGTCCAAATTTCAGTATAAAACAATACAAGCATTTTATTTTACGTTCGTTAAAACGATATTCAACTGTCCGTAGCGCCTCGTAGCAAAATGCTACGTCACCGTCATAGCGCTGTGGCTGATTGCGTGACGCGTACAATTTGCTACGGAAAAGGGGAAACCATTTTTCTGTTACATTTTCCTGTGACCTTCCAGCTTGACCTTTGAGCATTTTTAAACGGTAGAGAAATTGGTATTTTGTAAAAAAGATTTAAAGTTTTTTATTTTCCAATAATAGTTGGTTTTAATTTTAATGTTTATTATTTTAATGTTGGTTGTAATTTTTTTAATGTTTTATTTGGTCTGGGTGTTTCTATGTGTAATATGGATGTATTTACAAAAATTAGGTATATATATATTTATATCAGTTGTCTACTACCCATAGTACAAGCTCTGCTGAGTTTAGGACTAGATGGCGTTGTGTGAATGTGGTAGAATCTAAAATATAAAATTCTCGTGTCACGGTGTTAGAAGTTGAACTCCTCCGAAACGGCTAGACCGATTTTCGTGAAATTTTGTGTGCATATCAGGTAGGTCTGAGAATCGTCCAAAATCTATTTTTCATACCCCTATTATTATTTTTTGACAATTTTTTTTTAAATATTGTTATAATATAATGTTATTTCATATATATATTATTATTATTATATAGTACACTGTTGCCAGTGAGTAATACTCTGTCACCTTTGCTTACCAGCAGACTGAGCACAAAGCTAATGTTAAACTGTAATATTGTGAATACTGGTGGCGCTTTTCGATCATGTGGGAAAATTCAAGCTGAAATCTGTTGATCTAATGCTGTGAAAGGGATCTTCATCTGAGGATTGACGTCTTTCTTGTAAAGGTTACTGACCCTATTAGATTCCTGTGTTTGGGGTTGTGAAACATGAATAGCCTGTGATATATTTTTACAAAACGATCAAAATTGGTTTTTCAATATAATTGATGAATGAAAAAACAGACGCCACACGCCTTTAAAAACAAAGATTTAACAAAAAAAAATGTTCTGCAGACATCTTTCGGCTTTATGAACAAAATAAAATAACGAACCAAAACGATATTTTTAATTTCATTTTACTACTCCACAAGCTATAATTGGTTTTCGTTACGTTTGGAGTTATTTTAAAACAACACGGATGTTTTTAAAACATTTCAAAAGTCCTTGCCTACATTATTGTATCGACCGGCCGACCGGCCTGTTGGTCTAGTGGTTAGTGACCCTGACTGCTACGCCAGAGGTCGTGGGTTCGATTCCCACCCAGAACAAATAATTGTGTGATGAGCACGGTCATTTGTTCTGTGTCTGGGTGTACTTTATCTATAAAATGTATGTATTTAGAAATATATAAGTATATTTATCAGCAGTCTGGTTACTATAGTACAGGCTCTGCCTAGTTGGGATCAGACCGCCGTGTGTGAGATGTGTGTCAAAATATTATTATTATTAAAACATGTTAAATATTTTTTTTTCAACAAACGGTAAACCGACTTCAATGAAATTATTTAGAAAATGAAGTATTGAAAACCTTACATATTATACACCAGCTTTTGCTAACCTATGTTCTTTCTCAAAAATTAAAAAAATAAAATTATCTCCATACCAAATTTCAACTAAATCGGTTCAGCGGTTTAGGCGTTAAGACAGAAAAGACATACAGACTGATACACTTTCGGATTTATAATATTAATATTAGTATATTATTCGTTTCTAAAACCTTTCTAATAATATGCAGAAAATAAAAAAGGTTATAATAATTTGTGACCCTTTTGATTTACATTGATATACCTACACATACACGCATACATATATATAGACATAATTACATACTGACATAATTTTTTTTACAGTCGGTTAAAAGGAATTAGTTATAGATGAGCACGGGTTAGTTTTAAATAGTTACTTTTGTACTGACTGTACCCGTTTCATTTTATTAAGAAATACAGCAACTGCGGTTTTGCAGCATTTAAAGAAAATATACTGTTTATTGTAGCAATTGCAATGCAATCTACAAAACATAACATACAATAAAAGAAAACTGCCACGAAAGCAATCTAGCGGACACACAAAGCAAATCCTCTAAAAAATATTACACACATCTACTCGAGATAACATTCTCATTCACACAACATCTAACTAAGTAGCACAAAATTGCTAACACACACACACACACGCACTGAACATTTCATTTACACTAACACACACGTGTAGAAAGGTGTGGCGTGGCGCGTCGCACCTGCGATCGATCGTACCTGCGTTGTCATGGTAACCGCCTTTTCATCAACCCAAACTACACTGCAAGCGAATAGCGGGAGTGGTAGCAGCAGTATGACGAAGTTCTTATTTTTCAGAATAATAATAATAATTTTAATATTTATAAAAAATAAATAAATCTTTCTTTATATTAGGTCTTTACCTTTGAAATTGCCGTTTTGTATGCAATAAGTGAAAGTACTTATTTTTTCAAACTTTTTTATTTCTGTTATTCGAAGTAATCACCATTGGTAGTTTATTGATAAATAATAAATAAATAAAAATAAAATAAAAAAGCCTTTTATTTCTTACAGAAAATGCTAATTTACAAGTTTATTAGTTTTGTTAGTGTCAAGAAATTTTTTTTGTAGTTTAATGATTAATTGTTAGTATTTTCAGTTTTATATAAAGAATTTTAGATATGTTATTATCATAGATATAGTAAAACTTATTTTAATAAAATTATTCTGTAAGAACCCCTCTGCAGGTAAAGGCCTCCTCCAAATTGAGCCAGTTTTCTCTGGATTGTGCTGTTTGTATCCAGTTCGGGCCCGCTATGTGTTTGATTTCATCCTCCCATCTGATGGAAGGTCTCCCTTTCTTTCTTTTTCCCACTGGCCCCCTCCATTCTGTCACTCTTTTAGTCCACCTTTGATCTTGCAGGCGTGCTATGTGGCCGGCCCACTTCCATTTTAAAGCAAGAGCTTGTGCTAAACCGTCTGTTGCTTTTGTGATGTTGCGTATTTTTGTATGCCTTATTTTATTTATTCTTTTTATGTTTAGCATACTCCGCTCCATTCCTCGTTGACACGTTATTATTTTATTTTTAATATTTTTGTTAAACTTCCATGTCTGACAAGCATAGGTCAAGCATGGTATAAGGGAAGAATTCATAACCTTTGTCTTCAGTTTGATTGGCATGTTGCTCTTAAATATTTCTTTAAGGCTCCAGTACTTATTCCATGTTAACTGGGCTCTGCGCTCAATTTCTTGGTAGTTGTTTAGTCTGTCGAAGCTTATTTGTTTGCCTAGGTAAATATATTTATCAGTGTATTGGAGAGGCTCGTTGTCGACGTATATTTGTACCTTGGTGTTGTTGGTCATTACCATAGTTTTAGAGAGGTTCATCTCTAGTCCGGCGAGCTTGCTAGCTTTGTTAAGTGACTCTACCATGTACTGTAGTTCTTTTCCTTTCTCTGATATCAACACCAAGTCGTCGGCAAAACGTAGGTGGCTTAAATATTTATTTTTTACTTTTATTCCGCATTCATTCCAGTCAAGCTTGCTTATTATAGACTCTAATGTGGCTATAAATAGTATAGGTGAAAGCGGGTCCCCCTGTCTTACGCCTCTCTTTATAGGGAACCAGGGACCGGTTGTTTCTAGTTTAATTCTACTTTTGCTCTTCCTGTATATGCTTTTGATTACTCTTAAATATTCGTTTCCCACATTCTGTGTTGTTAGAGTTTCCCAGATATAGTTGTGTGACACTGAATCGAATGCTTTTTTGTAATCAATATATGCCAAGTAAAGTGGTCTATTTCTCTCTTGATATTTCTCAATGAGAAGTTCGAGTGTGTGAATATGGTCGATGGTAGAGAATCCTTTTCTGAATCCTGCCTGTTCAACAGGTTGCCTTGTTTCTAATGTAGAGCTAATTTTTTTGGTCAGGATAGTAGAAAATAGCTTATATGTACTCGGCAGCAAACTTATAGGTCTGTAGTTCCCAATATCCTTCGGGTCGCCTTTTTTATATAACAGAATTATGTTAGATTCAGACCATTGGGTGGGTGTCTCTCCAGATTCGAGGATAGAGTTGAATAATTTTGTAAAGGATGTAGCTAGTATTGGGGCAGATATCTTTAGGGTTTCGTTTGCTAGGTTGTCCGAGCCCGGGCTTTTGTCTAATTTCAGTTTGTTTAAAACCTCAATAACGTCATTTTCTTCAATTTGGGGTCTTATTAGTGTGTTACCGCCGCTGCTGTTATTTTGGTTCTCGTGGCTGCTGCATTCTGGCTCTTTTGTGCTATAGAGATCCCTGTAGAACTCTGTCGCTATGCTAATAATGTCGCCGCGGTTGTTTTTAGTTAAATCGCCTCGTTTCAGCTCTTCGATCCAAGTTTTATTTGGTTTTAGCTCTTTGTATGCCTTTTTTGTGCTTCCAGTTTGGCTTAGGTGTTTTTCAATAGTTTTATATCTGTAGTTGGCGTAGTCTTTTTTTATGTATTTGTTGACAAGTTTGTAAAGGGCCGAGATTGCGTTTCTTGTTGCTCTAGTTTTATTTGAACTTTTTTGCAGGTCTTGTCTTCTTTTAAAAAGTTTTAATGTACGCTCTGAAATTATTTTGTGGACTTTCTTTGGGTTATGTGCTACTCGGGCGTTTTGCAAGCTTAAGGTGATGATTTTAATTAAGTTGTCGTAATACTCCTGGACTGGGACAGTAATCTTAGTGAAAATTTGGTCTTTCGATATGTAGGAGCTTAGGTATTCTTTAAACTTTGTGATTTCTTCTTCGCTTGTTATTGTGTTAGTTTGACAGTTAGTAAACTTTGTTCTGTTTTTTTTGAAGTGTGTGTCATATGATATTGTTGCTCTTACTGGCCTATGATCCGAAGGGTAGTTAGTGTTTAGTACTTCTATGTTTTTAAATAGACGAGGACGATTTGACAGCACAAAGTCAATTTCATTTTTGTTGCCTCCATCCGGGGATCGCCAGGTCCATTTATTTTTTTGTTTTTTTTTTGAAGAAAGTGTTCAAAATGGACAGTTTGTTTTCACTGGCGTATTCGATTAGTCTTTGTCCTCTCTCGTTTCTAATTCCATATCCGTGTGCTTTCATGATTAAATGTTCCTCATTTTTTGGTATCCCAATTTTAGCATTCAGGTCGCCCATCAGTATGAAGTCTTTGTGTGCTAGTTCTATTGCCCTATTTACTGTTGCATAAAATTTATCGATTTCATCATCGCTAGCTTGTGCAGTAGGGGCGTAGACTTGAATGATTGATAAGCTGGTATTCTCGAATTTCAGGTTTAATATGGCTACTCTTTCAGAAAGGCCGAGGTAGCCTTCTATATTATTTTTAAGATGGTATTTAACTATAAAACCTATGCCATGTCTTCCAGGTGTGTGGCCTGTATAGCAGAAAATGAAGTTTTCATACTCTTCAATTTTGTTTCCAATACGCCTTGTTTCCGCTAAACCTAGTATGTCATATTTAATTTCTTTGAGCGCTTCGTTTAGCTCTAACAAACGTTCATATGATGAAAGTGTTTTAACGTTATATGTCAGAATGTATAACGTTTTTTGTGAGGTTTTTTCATTTTTTGGAGGGTTGTTTGGAGGGTTTTGGTCATGATCATCCACGGTGACCAGCCGGCTTGGACGATGAGTTTGGTATTCTGATAGTGGTTGGTGTATGTTGACGCTGCGTGAGGGGGGCGGTAATTGCTATATATTAACGTTATTATTTTTCTGCCGATCTGATGAGTTGTTTGTGTTTCTGTTGATCAGATAATTCAGCATGCCCGGTTTTGAAGTGCCTTCCGATAGGCTTGAAGTTCTTCTAATTTGTGTTTGTGATTTATTTTTCTTGTAAACCTGTGTGTTAGTTTCGGCTCCCTTTGTGGCTTTGTTTTCAGGCGAAGTTGAAAGCATTCTTTTGTTATTTCCAGCTGTTTTGTTTCTTTCACTTATGACAAGCTTATCGTATTTTATTTTTACAAGATTTCCCTTTTCCCTTTCGATTCTTGCTTGTACTTGAAGCTCTTTCCTCTTCTCTAGGATATTTTGTGGGAAATCTTCCGTTATGTAGTAACCGGTATTTTTTAGTGCACTTCTATTTTTAAACAAATAAATTTTTGTGCCGAGTGTACAAAAAGTGACAATTATTGGTCGAGGTCTTTCCCCTTTCCTGCCTATTCTCCTAACTTCTTGAATATCCCTGCGGTCTAGTTCTTGAGAGAAGTGTTCTTTGATAAAGTTCACTATGAGACTTTCTAGGTTAGAATATGATGTTTCTGTTTCTTTAATTCCGAAAAAGACGATGTTGTTTTTTCTCGCCTGTTTTTCTATAAAATATAGTCGTTTTTCTTGATTTTCACATTTTTCCCTTAGATGTTCGTATTTTTCATTGAATAGTTTAAACTTATCTTCCAATATGCAGTTTATATTTTGTGTAACTTTTTCTGTCACTTTCTCCCCACTTTTTTCTATTGCGGCTTTCTGTTCATCTAAATCTCTTCGAATTTTTCGAAGCTCTTGCATAATTTCCTCCATTTTTATACTTTCCAGATTATTTTATAAGTTGTAAAATACTATTGAAGTGATTGTGATGTTACTACTAGCGCCCTCTTGTGTTTCCGCTTCAACTTGCCCAGATGGCCAGCTCCTTGACGGATCGATCGCAATGGTTCGGACTTGTGTCAGTAATACGGGTAGTTTTCCACAGATGTCGCTAGTGTCTTTGTGCAGTTCTCGCTCACTTATTATTGCAAGTTGTTTTTGATATTAAAAAAGTAGGGTTTTTTATATCACTTTATTTAAAAAAAAAAACAATTGCCGGGATTATGAAAACACACTTTACTTCAGTTTTAGTTAGTCTTTCACTTCGAATGCATAAAGTGTGGAGGGTATCTCTGTATAAACACGTAATACGACTAATTCGCAGTCAAGATGTTTTCACTGATTACATAGTTTCCACTCAATGTTAGATATTGTCCACAATGTATGATGTAAAACACTTGTTTATTTCTTCACTTTTGTCTTTTCCGCTAAGTAAATGCACTTATTTTTATTTTGACATCACTATTAGTACGGAGCCGAAGTAAACATTGGCACTATAGCCCCCCATATTGATAAAACTTCTTGTAAAAATCATTTGGACGGGAGGCAACAAACTCTTCAAAGGCATTTGCAAGGCAGATGTGTACTGTGAAGAACTGAAGAGAATGATGGAGAAGCTTGCACATCTGCAACCTAAACCTAAACCTGTCTGTAAAGACCTATTATATTTTTTAAACGATAGAAAGGAAAAAGGCTACGACAATGCAAATCACTTAACCGGTTTTTAAGATGGCAATACGCTCTTTTCATGCAGGCTTAAAAGTTGTATCAATTCGGAAATACCTAAATATACATATCAGATACATACAATGTATCGAACATGTGAAAATTATAAAATTCTATATTCAAACATGTATATGTTCATAAAAGATATGATACATATAATAGTTTCTTATTATTTATAGTCAGCCTGCAAACTGATACGTAAGCAGTTTTCTAGCCATCATTTTTGATAGTTTCACCGTTAATTTTGTATTCCTAGTCCCTCCACAAGTATGAAATAAGTCCATTTTATATGCCACTATATGTGTAGCCTTCATTTACATTCCCAGCAGATTTAGTTTACAGCAACATAATAAAATGCAAATGTTATCGCTCCCCGCTGGCAGTGTGACCTCACCGTAACCCGTCTCGGTTGTAGACCGAATACATCACACGAGATACATAACTAAGTTTTCTCACTGCCGGACAAATGGACAGACATGTTTTATTATATTACTGTGCCACCACATAGGGTGGAAAAGGGCTTTATATTATTATTTTTAAAAGCCACGGAGTATTTAGTTTCTTCTTGGCAGGTTGCTTTAAAAAGGAACCAAATAAAACATAGTTACTAAGCCCGTCTGTTGGACTCATCTGAACGAGTCATTTGATGCCAATTTGAGGAGTTTACTGGCTACAGAAGAGTTCCATTATCTATCTGAAGGCTCCATCATCAGATTTGCTAAAATATTCT